TCCCTTGGTCTTTCCCTTTATCCCTTGGTCTTTCCCTCGTCCCTTGATCTTTTCAACCCCTTGGTGTTTACGGTCTCAAGATTTTTCGACTCCCTTTGCGCTTTTCGGCCCCTTGCTCTTTAGCTACTAGTGGGTGCACCATCCAATGCTTACTGGACTCTGCTTCGGTATGATAGGAAGAGCCGACATCGAAGGATCAAAAAGCAACGTCGCTATGAACGCTTGGCTACCGCAGGCCAGTTATCCCATCCCTTGACATTTCCATTTCCCCCCATCCTTGATCCTCTCACTTCCCTCATCCCTTGATCTTCCGTTTCCCTCATCCTTTTATCTTTTCCAGCATCTTTCATCCGTTCCCTGAACTATATTTTTGTTGAAGAGTAATGCAAATGGTAGAATTGAGAGCGAATTATGGGATGACGAAATTTCTGTTTAGTCGGTGGGACAGACCCTTTAATCGCTTTCTCTTTGTTCCACTATCTAGGTTATTTTCTTTGTTCCACCTAGACTTTTTGTCCATTTGCTTTAAAGTAGGTCATCGTGATGCTAACATCGTCTAACCTCTTCTTACCGACCACTTGATCATGGACCATACACATCAAGTGCACCAGTCGGGTTCTCTTGCTCTTTGTATTCGTTTTCTTTATCCAATCTCTTGCCTTTCTACCATTTTTTCAATCCCTTAATCCATTCACTCTCCACCCTTTCCTTTGCATGCTTTTTGTATTTTCCTGCTCCTCCTCTTGTCAGCACTCCCCTAATCCATTGGCATCCCTCCTCTTTTTTCTCTCTCTTGCATCCCTTGATCTTTCCGGTATCCCTCCTATCCCAGAGTGCCCTTGAACTGTCTCTATCCTTGCCCAAATGGCTATGACTTCATTTGTTGCGGTTCTTTTACAACCCTCTTCACGTATATAAAGAACCCACACCTACCCAACGTCCTGCGACAACACTCATCTGATCCTACCTCAACTGGAGTCACAACAGCATACGCTACGCTCGCCGCAAGTACTGCAAGAAAAGTAGCAAGAGCCATTCCACGAACCCCTCGCAGAACCCTTGCAACGCCGCAGAACCTTATCAAACGTTTACAGCAACGCTCTCAAGAAGACTTGCAGTATCTCGCAAAAATCTTTCACATCCTCCATAGTCTGACTGGGTCACCTCGCAAAGTAAGGCACTGTGACTACTCTTCGCGATATTATTGGCATAAGGATCTGCTTGCTTATCATCTCTCTCAACAAACACTCCTACATCCAAAAGCAACCCACGTACTCGTCTTCACTAGGGATACAAATCCACATGCTTTCTCAAATTTGCCTTCGCCAGATCGTCCTCACTCTGGCCTTTCTCTTGTTAGCTACAGTGGCTAATGCTTCATGTCTTCCAGCAAACTGTGTCGCCAGTGGTTGTTGTTCTGGCAATTGTCCTTACTGGTGTAGACAATGTAGAATTGATTTCCGCTGTTAACACTGTACCCATTCCCATCTCCCACGCCAATATAAGTCTTTAATCATCTCTTCCTTTATAAAAGATACTGTATATGATTCTGAGAGATCCTATGCTGGAAGCATGACTTACATGGAGTTAGTGCGTATTTTTTAATTATTGAGGAGCTATCATGTTGCTGCAACGGCTGTTCTGCAGTATGTACGAACAACTTTGAGCAGAGTGTAACAGGATTGTAGATTGCCTCCTGCTTTTGGCTGCCTTGTTTCTTACTTCCTTGTTAATATCTTGTGTGTCTGTCTTACACACTACCCCTGCTTATTATTACCTCACCATCATCCCTCATATCATAGACGTATAAATACCCTGTCCCTCCTGTACAATAAACCTCATTCCTTCTTGCCCTTTCCTCTTGTCCCTACACCCTCTTGTCTCTTTCCCTTGCTATTATCCTTGCCTCTTGCCTTCCTTCCTTGTCATCACCCTTGCCTCTTCTCTCTTGCTCTGCTCCTATTACACAGAGTGTGAAAAATAAATTCTTTCACCCCGTTCTCGTTACTTTGTGACTCCATTTTTTATTTAGACTTTACACAACCACCTAAACTTTTTACCACTAGATGCGATAGACCCAGGTTGCTCACTTAGTCATTGCAACAGGCGAAGACTGGGACAGAGAAGTATAGAACGGGGACGAGAGTTGAAGCAGTGATGATTGATATTATTACTATGGTACAACTAAATATATATACAAAGTCGCAAACTAGGTTTCTAGGTGTAGTGTCATACGGAGTCAGAGATGATAGAGAGTGACATGAAATGACTAACTAGTGCGCAATGATAAACCTAATATGTTGCAGTCATACTCAACTAAAATTCGAAAAGCGGTAATCGTCGCGTTCTAGCACGGATTCTGACTTGGAGACGTTCAGCCATAATTCAACGGATGATAGCTTCGGGTCATTGCAAAGCTACGGCTCGAGAAGTGAACAAGGGATATATAGGAGAGAAAGGCTAGTGTAATCAAGAATTAAGAGTGTTACTCAGGGGAGAGGGTCGACGGCCAGAGTTGTAGGACCGCTGTTAAGTCCTCAATTGGTACGGGGGGGGGGGGGGGGGGGGGAAGGGGTGTTGTAGGTTGGAGAGGGGGAAAGTGATAATAACGTCCTAAAAAGAATCACACAAAACGATACACTGCAGCGCGCCAGCAAAACTCTTGTCAATACTGCTCTCGTCCAAGAAGTGATGTGTAAAAGGACAAAGAGCAGACAAGAGGGCTCGGCGCACTACTAATACTATGTCTACTAAAGAATATGACTGCTAACCTAAGGCATCGCTGCCACTGCCTAGCCACCACATCTTTTTGTAACAGTGAGCACGCCCACGCGATCGACGCCCTTGTAACTCTGGAACTATTAATAGCAATTGATAAACCTCAATTCTTGTCTCCACTCAACACCCAGTGCCCTTATTGCAAGGAACATTGGTTTTAACCAATAGATTTATAAATCGTTAAAACATCGTTTTATAATTCTACGGTGAGGATTGTATCAAAGCTTCAAATGGTCGATCATGACGCGGAAGGCAGTTTCCTGGCGGACCCAAGCCCAGTCCTCAATCCAGGCACGCTTGATGAACTCGGCGCCGATCAGAGTGATTTCTTTTGTCTTGGCGTCGTGGCCATCGTCTTCTTTGAACCAACCCGTGTAGGGTGTCCATGACATCAGGTGGCCTCCGCAGTGAATGACAGCGGTCTTGAGATCCGTGGTCGTCAACCGGTCGCCATAGATCTTGCAATATGTCTCGAGGAAGGAGGTCATTAGCTCTTCGCATGGGTGGCGGTACTTATTGAGCGAAAAGGCCTCGGCTATGAACTGGCCAAGATCCATCGCTGCAGGTGCGTACCGGCTCATCTCCCAGTCCACAATATACATCCGCTTGATTGTGATCTCATTTCCTTCTCCTATTGCGGTGTCGACGAGGAAGTTGCCTGGCCAGAAATCACCGTGGGCAAGTGTTTCAGGTTCGTTCATCAGTCGATCGCCGCCCCACTTGGACGCCAGGTCGATCACATCCCGGTCGAACTGCGGCTGATCCTCCATGTACTTGCTCGCTGCCTTCGGGAACCGATCATAGAGAATCAGACGCGACAGGCCAAGAGCCTCAGTATTGGCCATCTTTTCCGGGTAGAGCTCCGAGCGATGGCGAAAACCGTAGAGATGCAGACGCGCAATGAACTCGCCGAGCGAACTGCCAATCTCCTTGGCCAGCCTCGGTTTCGGTGGCTGGGCGAGAGACGAGATGAACTCCTTGAGGTGCGTCGATTTTATACCGGCATCCTCCTGGATCACAATGTTGTTCTCATGGTCCCAGTAGAGCACGCGTGGCACCTTGACGTTGGCTGTCTCAATGTTCTCGTCTTCCTTGTTGTTGTTGTTCTTGTTGTCGCTGGCTTCGGCCACAACGCCGAGGGCGGTCTGCTCAAAAGCCATTCGGTCGCCATAGAGTGCCATCTGCCTGTTCGAAGCCGAATGATCGGCCGCGTGCTTAATGACGACCGTGGATCGACCTCCAAACAGATCCGTGCAGGGTTCGGCGATGGTGCCGCGGTAGACATAGTTGGCATTTCCACCGGACAGCTTCTTGACTGCGACAATGCTCCGCGTCTTGTCGCGAGACTGCAGGTAATGCAGTATACCGGCTTCTGTTTCAAAGTCCATCATTTGGAATGAATGAAGAGAGAGAGGGTAAATGGCGAGAAGTGAATGTGAGAATGAGTGCGAGGGGGAGGAAAGGCTAGTCGCTACAATGGAGGGAGAGCGGGAGTGGTAAAAGAAAACGAGGGAGAAGGGGAGAAGGAGTGCCTCTTCCCAGCTGACACTGGATACGAAGATTATCCAACTGCTCACATGCCGTTCGGAACTCCAGCAGTGTAGCTCCATCAGCTCCACAGCCCGCAGTATTCTCAAACTAGTAACGTCACCCTTGTTTATTTCCTTGCAGTATAGGAAATAACATTATTTCCCACGCTCTTTTCTTTGTTTCTAACTACTTTCTTTATCACCTTCCATTCCCACACCTTCTTCGCCCTTGCCAACTCCCTTTACCACCACCCTTCACGCCACTTCCCTTCTCTGTCTCTACCACGCGCACTCTTCCCATATCTCTTTGTTATGCCACTGTCCCCACTCTTTTCTTGTTGTCTTTCCCCTTTTTTTGCCATCTTTTTTTTTTCTTTTCGCCTCCCTTGTCGTTGCCACCGCTCCCACGCTCTCTCTTCCCACACTACTTTTTTTTTCACCATCGCTTTACCATCGTTCCCACGCTCTCTTTTCGACTTTGCTCTCCGTTTATTTCTCACCACCGCCTTTCTTTTGCCACCATTTCCCACCTTCATCGCCTTTGCCATCACTCCCACGCCCTTTTCCCCTTTTTACTCTTCCTTTTAAACCCACACCTTCATCTTTTTCTCTTTTCTTCCTTTCATCCTTCGCCCTCTGCACACATCACCTTCTCTACAACCCTCATTTTCTTTTCTTTTAATTCTTCGCATTATGACCAACAATCTCCTGACCTTGTTCTGTCTTGTTGATGGAGACCGTATGCCATTCTCCGTCGACATCGATGCATCAAAAACTGTTATCACCTCAAAGACGCAATCAAGACCAAGATTCCTGACACGTTCAAGGGAGTTGATGCCAAGGACCTCGGGCTCTGGCGCGTCTCCATCCCTCTCGTTCCAAAGAAGGATCGCAAAGACATTTCGCTAAGCGAAGTTCCCTTGAAGGAAGAGCTCGATGAAACAGACGATCTCTCTGACGTGTTTCCGGACAAGCTGCCCAAGAAAACGATCCACGTCATCATCCAGCGACCTCCTTCAGGTAATGCTTTTTTTTTAAAAAATTGAACCTTCCCGTAGGAAGGCTCAGTAAGGAGAGAACAGTCCCAGTGGTGCAACAAGCCACCAGGGGTTTTTTATTTCTGAAGACGGTACTTGAGAAAGAAATGTGTAGGGGGCAGCGGCAAGACTCTGAATTTGAGGGAAGACTTTGTGCTGTAGAAAAGAGAGGAGCCCTCAACTCCTTGAGTGTCAGATGATGAGATCATGCGCCAAGCCAAACCAAACGCTCTCGTAGGACTCGAACCCAGGACCTCAAGATTGTGAGAGGGACGCTTTACTACTACGCCAAACGGGATCCCAAGCCCCCTTCAGGTAATGCACACACGCGTTTATTGCTTTTCGTGACATGCTGTTGGAATGAATTGGGCTAATATTCAATTCTAATGCTGTCTCATTGTGCAGACCTCGTGTCGGAGTTTGACTTCGTGCAGTGTGTGCCTAGCGCTATACGTGGTGAAGATCAAGATGAGGGTCCGGGTGTGAGCTCTCACAGCTCGATCTCGGTAAAACCTCAGTCGGTTCAGTCCTGGGCAAACTTCTTGCCCAGTGTTGGCGGCATGGTACTGGAGCGAGTCCCGCAATATCAACGTCCACGGTTCGGAGGACAGGACTTTTATACCGGAAACAACACTCCAGGATTTGTTTTCGTATGACTTTGGATCAACACGAATCTTGCCTCCTCATGCAACCACTATCAGAAACATGGGACTTCCACGCGGCAGCCCTGATCTGGTGTGTCGGAAGGCAGGACGCAATGCCAACGTTGCAGGGGCAGTTCTCTTCCCCATCAAGATCAAAAGACCAGTCCTTTTGCAGTCGCCAAATTTGGCGGAAGACTACAGGGAGCAGGAGCGGTCTGGCGTAGCAAGAGGTCCAGCGCGCGCCGTCAAACAAGCTTTTGGCTACATGCGCCTTAATGGCTATTCATACGGCGTACTATCGACCTATGAGCAGACATGGTTTCTGCTGCGGGAAGGGATGAACCTCATGGTTTCACCTACCATCGCCTTCAACCAGACGGAGCCCTCTTTCCTACAGTGTTACATGTGGTTTATAAGGCAGGCGAATGTTGACCAACGGCCCTTGGACCCTTCGAGTGATCAGGAGGTGGAAAACATTCTCGAGGATGAACGTCAGCACCGCGAGCGAGGACAAAAGGACAGTCCGTACAGATCAAAGATGAGGCGACTCAAGGACAACATATCATTGTAAGTTGATACATGCTAAGGGACAATTGGATGGTGTTTCAAGTCAACTCTTAATAGCGCCTTTCTTGAACTCGACCTAGACTTACTCGTCGAAGGACGCGATTACAATCCAGGAATACCACTCGAGTGGTTGTGCCCACATTCGATTGCTTGGAACTGACCTCGCACAACGAGTACGCACAAACCTACAAATCATCATGGCAAGGCTGTGAGGTTGTTGTGAAGAAATGTGGCATATGGAATGAACGGCCAGTGATGGAGGAACTGAGGCATGAGGCAATGATTTACCAGGTTTTACGGAGTCTTCAAGGGCTATGCATTCCCAGGCTGAGGATTGCTGGAATAGCGGATGGCATGGAGATGCTGTTGGTGACTGACTTTGCGGGGACCAACATCTGCCAGGAACGTTTAGAGGAATCTGACCAGGTGAAGATACGGGCAGCACTGTCTGCTATCCATGATCTGGGAGTTGTTCATGGCGACATCTTGCCACAGAACATTGTGGTGCAACGCAATGGTTCCAACACTCGGTTCTGCTTCGTGGACTCTGGATGATCATGGATTGCCACGGACCATACCGACTTCCAACAGGATACAATTGCCCTGGAGAGATTACTGCAACATATGGCTGCGTAAAATGACGAGCTTGAAAAAAGCCGGCTCCCACAACCAATAGCCTACATCTAGTCTCTTCCTTTGCTATTCTATTTGCACTCAAAAAGAAAGACTGTACTCCTGTTTTCCTCCTTTAGCGTATCATACCAACGATTGTTAATATGATGGTATTGTTCACATTGTTTGTACTGAAAGACGGGTATCGACTATTCCTATTCTCCTCCATCGCCTCAGTGACGTGTTGCAACGTAGCTTTGATGATCCTCAGAAAGAGTAACTCCATCAGCCATGCGTATCAGAGACTAGTAGCAAGCGCAAGGAAAGGAAAGGACAGGACACTTTACGAATTCAAGAAGCAGTAAATGTTTATACTATTATTCTTGTCTATCTGCATGTCCTTTGCCCTTGGCTCCGCATCAGATGCTCATTAGATGCTGCAGCAGATCTGATGGAGCAAAAGAAAGAGTGACGCGAGGGAAGAAACTTTCTGATTGTCAGAGTTTCACTCTGATATGGCGATTTTTCACGTACACGGCACACGGAAAAGGTTTTGTAAGACATCCAACTCTCCGTCAACGAACTGTGTACCATTCGAGTTAATATATACGATCCGAATTTGCAAGAGAGATCAATATAAATAGGCACCAAGCAAGATGCGATTTTTTAAAAACTAGTCTCTTATCTGCATATTGCCTACGACGATTTCCATGTCGACATCTACGACCTCACCCACTGCAGCAGCAACTGTCTCATCCTCATCCTCGTGCTCCTCATACTCCAGCTCCTCTGATCGGGCTATCGCTGCGTCAGCATCATCAGGGGTCCACACCTGTAAGTCCTGCTCCTTGGAAGACGACTCTGGTATCCACTCTTCAATATCCTTGGTTTTTTTAGCTGTTCGTCGTTGTTTAGGATTTGGCGGCTTCCATCCCGCAGGCCTGAGGCCAATGGCGCCGTCGTAGCCAATATCAGGGACGATAAACTTCTTGGATGTTCGGAGGAAGACCAGGTTCTCAAAGTACGGCAGCATGCGCTCAGCATTCATTGTGTAGTCGCCGTCATAATGTATATCGCAGTAGAACTTGACTCAAGGAAAAAAGGAACAAGAATATTAGAAATTGATGCATAAAAATAAGGCATATCTCACTACAAATTGTGAAATACAAACGCAATGAAGTACTAACCTGCCAGGTTAAGAGCTTAACTTTATGTTGCCTGACGGTCAACTCCTGGATATCACTATCCTTCCGCGCCAGAAGGTCATAGAGGACCTTGTTGGATGAGGATCTGATGGCCTATGAATACTCTTCTTCTGTCATTCCAGGAGGGATCGTTGGATAGGCCCGGCTCTGGTCTTTCTGGTGCATTGGAAGTCGACGGACTGTAGATCCATTCGGCCCGTGGTACCGCTATACCTTCTTCTTGGCCGACTTCTTGACAGTGTCAGGGTCCGAGTCGTCTGTGTCTGCAGAGTCCACTGACTTCCTGCTCATCGCTTTTGGCCTTTTCTTATTCGCCGCCTTTGAGGTTCGAGGAAGAGGGGAAGCAGAGCCAGTGGCACCAGGGTTGTTACGAAGGACCTTCTCTTGACCCTTGGTTATCGTGGAACTGGCCTTTGGGGCATTGGGGGTCTTGGTCGTAGTGGGCGCCTTGGTGGAGGGGGTGGTATTGTCCGTCTTTGTTCGCGTTCTGGTGGCGATCGCAGGGACAGAGGCTTTCTGAGCTGTAGCTTTGACAGAAAGAGTGTTGGTAGTAGGTTGGATTGTTGCTGTGGAGGGTTTGGTCCCAAGAGTGGTGGCTTCAGCAGCAGCTGGACCTCGGCGCCGTCCTCGTCTTTTTGGTTCATCAATAGCGACCATCTCTTCCGGTCAGACTTTCGTTTCGGTACGGAGTGGACCTTCGGCGACAGCAGTAGCGTACGAGCGGCGGGTTCGGGGTCCTCTATTGGGCAGCATGGTGGAAGGTAGGTGGTAGTTGAGGGAGTTTTAAGAAGAGAGCGCGGATAGATAGCGCTTAGCGTCAATAAACAATATTGAAAAAGAACAGCAGTGGACAGGTGCATATTTATGTGATTCATACTTTGAGGAATGGAGTGATGGCCAAGCAGATGGAGACCTTGGCGGCCCCTTCATGTGCAAAGGATATAAAAAGGCACATGCAAATATCTAAAGCCCAAGGAATGCAGTATTGACTTCCATAGCTGAAGTATCTCTTCACAGTCGGCAATAGAACATGAAATAAAATAGCGACAGACAGCACATGTTTTTTTAAAATGTATTCTCTCCCTTGTATTTCACGACCAAGATACAGTTGAGAGTACAGGTGCTTTAGATGATCACATACAAGAGCTACTCTGCTGAATCTTGCAGTGAGGGGTACAGTTTAATAGTAGATGGAGACATTCACGAAATTGGTGTGCGAAAAATAAGAAGAGTTCGTTGTTTGGAGAATAGGTTGGTGTTTAGTGGGATAGTCACGCAAGGAATGTTACAGTGGTTGTTTTACATGCTTAATATTATATATATACTCTCTTCTAATGGTCGCTGTCGATATTGTCAAGACCTGCAGTGATGTAGCAAACACCATACGATAATTTGGACTTGAAAGGCCTCCTTGGAGAGGAGAGGAGTTGGGTGTTGATGTGTTTCTGCTGAGTGTAGATTATAGGTGGGGTTTGAGTGAGGATGGACAAGCTGTAAACGAAAGCGATTGAGGGATGGCAGGCATGCTGGTGGTGAAATGTGTTTCTTCAGGCACAGTAATGAGACAAAAAAGAGTATTTTGGCGATTATGTGCCCAATTCCTCAAGTCCGGCTCTAAGCCACGCAATTGGCCATGGCTGTGTCGTGGTCTCATGTTCAAGCAAGAAATTTTGCTTCATAGTCTGTTATAGACTGTACCTGGTGTGCCTAATAGTACAATCCCTCTCTTTGTCTCATCAGTTACTAGTGTACGTATGTGAAAACCTTAATATATCGCAGGCGCTATCAATGGGTGTGGGGGTCTTGGAGGGAGTTGCCCTTGGTTGGCCGAGTCGTTGGCGTCAGTGCCAGGTTGAACAGGGTCACTCGTCGAGGGAGAGGGAGAAGGGAAAGTGGAGTTTCTTCCCTGTGTACAAAGGAGTATCTTCGGGGTCAGCGGGCATGACTCAGATAGCAGGCAGACGAGGAAAAGGATGTGTGAATATGTATGTGTGGGTGTATGTGTATGTGTGTGTGTGTGTGTGTGTATGTATGTGCTCCCTCTCAATATTGCGAATAAACACGGTAACACTCAAGACCTGCTCGTATCGTGGAAGAAAGGTGCTTTATGTCAATAACTATTCTCCAAAGACTAGAAACTACTATTGCTACCAATGGTCGAAAGGGCATAGTGCCTACCTGCTCGTATCGTGGAAGAAAGGTGCGTTTCCAGACATTCGCAGCCTGAGTCGCAGGCAAGCGCGTAAAATAGCAAAATGGTGTTACAAAAAGATGTGGTGGCTAGGCAGTGGCAGCGATGCCTTAGGTTAGCAGTCATATTCTTTAGTAGACATAGTATTAGTAGTGCGCCGAGCCCTCTTGTCTGCTCTTTGTCCTTTTACACATCACTTCTTGGACGAGAGCAGTATTGACAAGAGTTTCGCTGGCGCGCTGCAGTGTATCGTTTTGTGTGATTCTTTTTAGGACGTTATTATCACTTTCCCCCTCTCCAACCTACAACACCCCTTTCCCCCCCGTACCAATTGAGGACTTAACAGCGGTCCTACAACTCTGGCCGTCGACCCTCTCCCCTGAGTAACAATGGCTACCAGAAGCTAAGCCACTCCAGACCACCATAGGAGACCATTCAGGTCCAAAATATAGCGTAACATTTCTCTCATCTCTGTCCGTCGCGGTAAGATCAACCATGACCATCAGACAAATAATATCTGTATAATAATTATGTTGACTAACCATTGTAATGTTCCGGGCATAATAATCCTACCAATCACCGCCAACTTTTCCAAACAGAAATGTACCATAGTTCTTTGAATAGATCTCTCCTGAATGTACATCTCCATCACCAGATCGCATCCTTCGCATCGAAATTAAGGGGAGTAATTCTTGCCGATGTTGCGAAATCAGGGGCTCGATACGGAAGATAGAGTGATTGTGGCACTCTCAGTTGTTGTCTCTGTTTCTTCGAATAAAACACTGAAAATAATGCAGTCAGCTAACGTTGGTCGAATGCTCGAGTTTCTTGGAAAAAGGCCTTTATATTAATTGTGTGTGTACCTGAAAATAATGCAGTCAGCTAACGTTGGTCGGATGCTCGAGTGTCTTGGAAAAAGGCAAAGAGCAAAAGAACCACCGTGCTACCCTATTTCTACTAATGCAGCATTTACGTTTGGCTAACTACTGTGAAGTTGAAATTGTGTAAGGGGTCTAGAATTTTGTAACAACGATGATAGTCCAAAACGTGTTCTTACTATGTTGCATCTTTGTGGTGAAACCGAGAGGATGACAACAACTCAGTCGAAATCACTGCCCAAGAAGAACTACAAGCACTGCATGCAATGGTGGAAGGTGAGGATGAGACTGGCCTTGTTCTGGAAGGTGAGGACTTTGAGTCTGGAGACCAACAGGTGCTGGAACATGCCACTGGAACAGAAGCTCCTGCAAAACCCCTCATAATCGAGACTGAGGCAGACAAGATGAAAGGTATGTATAATTTTCGGTCTCAATCGATGTTATTAGGGAGATAATGACACTGATATTTGTTTGACCTTTCAATTATTACTAATCTTTTCTGGTCTTGTACCTGATAAACATGGTCGTATTGCCATCATGGTACCTTTGTCTCTGGGAACTGTTGATAACTACCGCAAAGCTTGTATTTATCTCTGGAAGCTTCAAAAACAAAGGACCACCTTGTGCCCAAATCCTGCGCCTAACCCACGTACCGATGGACCTTTGGATGATGCCATCAACGCCTATGGTGTTCGTCTCGTCTATGACAAGGCTACAACTGGAACAACAAGGAACACAGCTTGTGACACACGCGACACATATGACGGTAATGACAAATAAACACCATGAAAGCATGCCCTACCTTTTCACAGCAATCTGACATATCTCCCTTCTTATTATAAGGCCACAAGCTGATACGTATGGCAACATACACCTGGCAACAACAGCCTATACACCGAACCAAAGGAGTCCGCAAATACAAGTGCATCACCCGGTTCCCCCACATCCGTGAGCGTCTCTGCATTCTAGCTCGGCACCATATGCTCCTCAGAGATGAGGACATCCGGAACCTCAATCTGTCTGATGTCTTTGCAACGCTCAACCGCAAGAACGCCCATGGATCGACGTGGGCCTGTGGACTCACGTTCTGTCTACGACGTGGAAAAAACAAACAAGAAGGGCGCCATGCTCTACGCCACTACCTTCAGCCACAAGGACTTTCGTCGCTGTACTGTGGGAGCATTCTCATTTTACATGCTCGAGCGGTTCATGGTATGATAAATATTTGCTTACTGTCTACTTGCTATGAAATGCACCCAAGTTTAACTGACTTTATTTCACCTCTTTTTTTCCATACTAGATTAACAAGGAAAGCCCTCCCGACTTCTCAGATGTAGACAAGTGTAAGGACATCAAGGTCCTTGTTGCCAGTGATGTCCCATCTGTGCCTGATCCTGACCTCAGCTCCGTCACCAACAGTGCCGTGCAAATCGAGGCAGAGCTAGAGCATGAGCTTGCTCAGGACAAGCAGGACAAGGCACGCATTGACGCTCTCACAAGCAGAGCACAACAACAGGCAACTGCCGCTGTAATGCGTGCCTGTGAGGTCTTTTCAGTAAGGCTCACCCACGCCGGTCGCCATGCAGGCACCAAGGAGGCGTTCAAGCTAGGACTTGGTATCCAGGATATCCAACATCTCAGGCGATGGGTGATGAACCAGATGATGAGTTTCTATGCTCCCAAGAACCCTATCAAAGGTTCATATTTTATGGCGCACTTTAATGGCACTGATGAGCCCTATATCCTTGAGCGTGACCTCGTCCCACCACCTCCAGAGCTGCAAGCCATGTTGTTTGGCTGGATCGAACAAGTTTTTGATGGACATGATGACAGTGTTGTTGAGGCCTGGCACGAGAACTGCATGGAGGAGATGACAGGGTACGACCCAGACGAAGTCCGTGAAGATGATGTTTTCTTTGGGGCCAAACCCAATATCCCAGCAGCACAGTCAGGACTCGAGCAAAGTGCGCGCACAGACAAGGTTGCATTCCTGAAGCTTATGGTGCGCATGCGGCGGGTCATCATCCAAGACGCCGTTCTTTGCCTGCAGCCTGTACCTGGAATTGGCAGGACCCTTTCGAACAGTTTGATTGAAAAGCCGCCTGAGATCTTCCAGAACCAACTGTTCCTGGATTATTCAAAGGAGCTTCTTCAAGTTATTGAGCAGCATCGGGAAACCTCTGGCGCCATTGCTGCTGGTATCCACGTTGATGGCGCAGATATTATTGAGGCCATCAACCGATCTGCCTCACAACAGACCGTTCTCAACAGGACTCTGACTGCCATGGAAGCCAAGTACCAGGAACAACTTCAACAGCAACATGAGCGACATACACAAGCAACGGGGGTACAAATGGCACAGTACGCCCAATTGGTCAAGGAATTCAAGGAGATGGGACAACCGATGCTTATCCAGCATCCTCAGCAACCTCGCTTCCATCACCCGTCTTCTCAGCACCCTGACTTTTGTCCTCAACCTTCTCAGCACCCTGGCTTCCATCCTCAACCTTCTCAACATCCTCAATATCCTCATTATCTTCAACATCCTCAACGTCCCCATTTCCATCCTCAACCTCTTCACCATCATGCTCCATATCAACAACAGCAACAACAGCAACAACAGCAACAACAGCAACAACAGCAACAAGCGCCATTCAGTTACTCAATTTACCAATCAACTTCGC